ACTATTGAACTTAATGAATGTAGAGAGCTAGTTGACTGAAATCAAGATTTAAATTGTTTAAGTTTTGTATGACGGAAAAAGTGGACTAGTATCTCTTGTGCATTAGTGAGAATTTTCTAGACTAAGTTGTGGATTAATGCACTATCTTTGGTCCTAGTTTAGGAGTTCATGTCTATGAGATTTGTGCATTCCCTATTTTTGTTTTCACTTAACCAATTTAGGCTTTTGCTTTGTTTGAGGACAAACAAAAGTTTAAGTCTGGGGGAGTTGATAACACCGTATTTTGACCACTTTTATGGATCGTTTTGAAATACTTTTTCTATGTTTTTAATTGCTTTTAAGTACTTTTATCACGTTTTTCTAGTATTTGTAGTTCCAAGACTCTTTTCAAGTAACTTAGGAAAAAACTTAACAAAATGGATAGAAAACCAGATTTCAGCTCAGAGTCAAACCGTCAGAAGTTCACCCCTGATTGAAGGCCTTCTCACCGTCTGATCCAGCTCAAATTTGGAGACCTTAAAGATGGAAGTATCAGCTTTCCAGTGCACTTTACAGCTTGGCAATCCAACGGTTGAATCAAAAGATACGCGAAGAGCAAGATGTCCCGTAAACCAGCCGGCAAGCACTTCCACCCACGGCCAACAAGCATTTTCCCGCGGTTAGGAGCATCTCGACTGCGGCAAACCACTCAGTGGCCTTCAACCTCCGAGATCAAAAAGCCCATTTCTGAAGCCCACATTTGGAGAAACCCTAAGTGACGTCCAGAGAAGTCTTGAACACTATAAATACATGTCTTAGGAACCCTAAATCGTGTAACCGAATACCATCTATCATGACTTCATACTTTTATTGTTTTTGCTTTAGCTTTTAGGGAGAGAGAGATTTGTGCTCTTGAACCCTTGTTCTTTCTTTATCAATTTCGGTTTCTATTCTACTTCTTAATATTATGTCTTTGATTTCGTTCATTATGTCTGAGTAGTTTTATTGTTGGGATTAAGGGATTTTCGATGGGGATATATATGTTCGGTGAGGATTCCATTGGCTATTGAGCTGAATCTTAGAACTTTTTTCTTCTGAATTCGTTTTTACTGCATGAGGGTAGCGTCATGAACTACAATCTGATCCAGATGCTTGGTGACACGAAAGTGTTCATCAGGTATCAGATCTAGTTTGGGAGAGCAAAACAAACATAGGAGTGGAAACCTACCTATGGGCGATTTGTGAATTAGGACGAGTCTTAAACATAATGCATCTCTTCTCTTCCAGGGCCAGAGTGAAAACCTACTGGTCACGGTTGAGAGAGATAGTTGTCTATGATCACGACAGTGGCGTATTCATACGTCCGTGACTCCAGTTCGAAAAGTTTAAGCTAAGATCTTATCAATTTACTCTCTAGCAATGTTTTGAATCGTTCGTACCCTGAGAAAACTTCCCTGAACTCCAACGCTTTCTTCTCCATTGTTTTACACCGATTTTTCTTTCAAGCTTTAGTTCAATATTGTCTTTCCTTTTTAGTTCATTTTCATTTAAGCAATTAGATATCCGTTTTTTACATTTTTAGTTATTTTCGTTAAGTTTAGTTATTACATCATTTTAATTTCCGTATTCTCTTTTAATATTTCGTTTTTAGATTTTAAACACACTACCAAACCCCCACTAAACCGTTTTTTTTGTTCTAGACTTCCTTACTTTAACTTATTTCAAAGGCTTTTTGCAGGAAAAGATCCTCCTTCCCTGTGGATTCGATCCCTAAGTACTACAATCGATCAGCTGTGCACTTGCGGCTATTGATTTCAATTAGGGTAAAACTTGACAACCCACAACACACACACATCAACGCTGCACGTCGACGGCTCGTCGTCTAAACACGGCTCGGGAATAGGAATCCGTCTCACCTCTCCCACCGGAGAAATATTGGAGCAGTCTTTTCGCCTGAACTTCCACGCCTCGAACAACGAAGCAGAATACGAAGCACTGATCGCTGGCATACGACTAGCGTTGGGAATCGGAGTTCGAAAGATAAGAATCTTTTGCGATTCACAGCTCGTAGCATGTCAATTCGACGGAGAATACGAGGCTAAGGATGGATGAATGGGAGCTTACCTCAAGGTGGTCCGTGAGTTGGTGCAAAAGTTCGACAAGTTCGAACTCACGCGAATTCCCCGAGGAGAAAACACATCGGCCGGAGCCTTGGCAGCATCGCTTCGACCTCAGACCCGGACCTCCGACGGATGATCCCAGTTGAATTTCATCAAACGTCCTCGCATCAAAGAGGTAGAAGGAGTTCGCTGATAAATCCTCCTCAACAAGAACCAGAGGACGACGAAGCCATTCCTATGGATGAAGACGCCTCACCAGCCGAGCTGGAGTACGGCTGCGACAAAGAATGGCTCGGAGCTATCCGAGTATACATCGCCGATGGAGAGGTGCCAACCGACAAATGGGAAGCCCGCAAACTAAAAGCTCAGGCCACGCGGTATGTCCTCCTCGATGGCGAGGTGTTTAAATGGAGATTTTCAGGGCCTCTCATGACATGCGTCGAAGGACTGGAGGCAAGAAAGATCATGCACGAAGTGTACAGCGGCGCGTGCGGGAACCATTCTAGATAAAACGGCACGGTTACTTCTGGCCTACGATGGTCAAGGACTGCGAAAAATTTACGGCAAAGTGCGAGAAGTGTCAGCGGCACGCCCCAACAATTCATCAACCTACCGAGTTGCTCTCGTCAATTTCGTCACCTTATCCGTTCATGAGATGGTCAATGGACATCGTCGGACCTCTACATCGCTCCAAGCAGAAGCGTTTTCTGCTCGTCCTCACGGATTACTTCTCCAAGTGGGTCGAAGCCGATTCCTACGCAAGCATAAAGGATGTTCAAGTCGAACACTTCGTCTGGAAAAATATCATCTGCAGACACAGGGTCCCCTACGAGATAGTCACCGACAACAGATCCCAGTTCATCTCAACACGCTTTGAAGCCTTCTGCGAGAAGTGGAAAATCCGTCTAAGCAAATCTACGCCAAGATACCCTCAAGGGAACGGACAAGCCAAAGCAGCCAACAAGACGATCCTCGATCGTCTGAAAAAGAGGCTCGACGCCAAGAAAGGACGGTGGGCAGACGAACTCGAAGGAGTCCTTTGGTCTCATCGGACAACTCCGCGCCGAGCCACCGGGGAAACTCCATTCGCCTTGGTCTACGGAACAGAGTGCGTAATCCCCTCCGAAGTGGATTTCCCAGGTATTCGACGAGGACTTCTACCAGGACAGGAGGTCTTGAACCACTTAATGATGCTAGATGAGCTCGATCTAATCAACGAAAAGCGCGACCAAGCCTTAGTCTGAATCCAGAACTATCAACAAGCAACGGCGAGATACTACAACAAAAACGTTTGTAGTCGAAGATTCAAAGAAGGGGAGCTCGTCCTCCGAAAGGTCTTCCAAAACACTGCCGATAAGAATGCAGGAAAGCTCGGGGAAAACTAGGAAGGCCCTTACAAGATTACAAAAGTAATTCGTCCAGGAATCTATGAACTCGCGACGCTAGCTGACGAAGCAATTCCAAGATCATGGAACGCAATGCATCTAAAGAAGTATTATCACTAAAGCCACAGCACGGTCAACATGAACTACAGGACGGCTTGATCCCTGCAAAGGGTACGTAGGCAGCAGTCCTCGGACAGGTTCAGCTGTCCCCCCTCCTAAAAAGGGGGGGGGGGAGTGGGTACGTATACACATACCTCCTTTAACTCTACAATTTCAGCTTGCTCACTTAGGAACATCGCCACTTCGGCCCGTTTTCAGTTCGTTTTGAATAATCTAATTATTTCATGTTTACCTCGGATTTCTAGTTCGTTCATTATCGCTTTGGCTAGTTTCTCAATCAGCAACTTATTTTAACAAGCTCGGATTTTTAAATTCTTCACTCACCTCGGCAAGTATTCATACCACTTCGACATGGTATCATGACCTGATTGCCTCAGACCTTTAGTGGTCCTCAGTTTCAGTTCGGCAGCTAAGCCTCCGAATGCCTCGTCTCGTTACTGGCCACAACGGGGCAACAAATACAAAGTTCTCTAAACGGACTTTTACCATTTTTCCTAGGACAAGGGTGCAAGTTACATCCTCTATGGATAAAAACTAAGCATCGCTATACAAATATCAGACCAAAAACGTATCGGTCGCCACAGTTTTACTATCGCACACGAGATTATAAGTCGAGACTACATCGCTTTCTCTAAAACTGAAGTGAACTCTTAAAAAACCTGGAAAAACGCACTCACCCTCTCGGGAACGCCGGTCTATAGTCATATTCCAAAGAGAATACCGTATCCTCTTGAACTCTAGCCTCGTCAACAAGAAAACACATAACTTACTCGAAAAATACTTTGGGGTTAGTCGAAAAATTCTCTCAAAACAATCTAAAACAGCTCACCTTGATGAGGACCTCTCTCAGTGTTGGAATGGACAAACCCCAATAAGAGTCCCAAAATCATCTGCGGTTAACAAAAACAAAACGCCTCGTCGTTTACACGGCTCGGCATCATATAACAAAAACACCTCGTCGTTAAACACGGCTCGGCGTTTCCAACGAAAGTTGCCTCAACATTATCGCTTAAAACGCCTCAGCGTCGCCTAAAATGGAGACGCTCCACGTATCAACTCCCAGCTCGGGATTTAGAACTCAAACAGAATTTTTAAAACAACTCGCCCCTTAGCCCATATCAATTTCAAAAACTCGGCTAGAGAAGCAATCGAACTAATCCGCGATCCAGCTCGCTTCAAACAAACATTTTCAGTCAAAAATTCATGTCATCAAGGGCGAACACATAAAATCCAGCAAAAAAAAAACGACTAAGGAAAAGTTGAATATAACCATAGCTAAGTCAAAAGTTGGGGATAAAGCCATCTTGGCACAATGTTTATCAAAAAACGAACAAGTCGAAAGTTTTGGATAAAGCCATCCAGGCACAATACGATACAACACAGTACAAAGAAAATATTACTGATCTCCTGCACGCAGCTCGGGAACACCCTCGGCAGCAAGACCAGTAGCTATCGGAGTATCGATGTTCGAACCGGTCGGGTTTGTAACCCCAACTGAAGCCGCAGTAACCTCCAGCGGCTCATTTCCCAAGCGAGAATCGACTGAATCTGGAGATACCGGGGAAACCACCAACCTCTCACGCAAGTCCGTCGCGGCACGCTCAAACGTCTCCTCGGCTCCCAGCAGCTCGACCTCCCAATTCTTCAGCTTCTCCTCTTCGGCGTCGAGGCTGGCATCTGGCTTTCGGAGATCGCCGATTAGCACGAGGTTACTACGAATCTGACCAAGGTCGTTCTCGTCCCTCTTAGCCTTTTCCAGTTCGCCCATTTTCCCTTCGATCTCGACGAGCTTTTCTTGAAACTTGACCGCGGCAGCGCGCCTGGCGTCTTTCTGAGCAATCTTGACTCGAGACTCGAGCAGCGCATCCTTTGCCGCGATTTGCCTCTTCAAGGAGGCAATCTCGCTGTTTTTCCGACAACGAGACTCCTCGAATCGAGTCGTCGCCTTCTCGAGCTCGGCCCTCATAGCTCCTTTCTCCTCCTCAAGCACATAGATTCGAGCCAACGCCTTTTCAAAGTCAGCCTTCGATTGCACGACCTCCTGCTTCGCCTCGACAAATCGACGCTCACCTTTGAGCGCGTCGGATTCATAGCCCACCAATAGCTCGTTCACCGCGGCGATAAACTGAAATCAAAGAAGAAATTTAAAACCAGGCAAATCCAACTAAGGAAGTCAAAAGCGAAAGAATACTAACCTTAGTACCACGTTGAGCCATCGCGGCGTAAGACTTCGGTCGCTTTAGCTTCTCGGGGCGCGGCAAGGAAACCTTATCGTTATTAACCTTGGAGAACAATTGGGCGGAAGCAAAGGCATCGTCCACAACGAGTTTTTTCGGGTTCACCTCATCAACAGCTACCTTCTGCCTCTTCTTAAGTGGCTCACCTTCGTCGGGAGCGACACCTTTACCTTTATCCGCAGCAGATCGCTTGCGATTCATCGCCTCGTGCTTCAGGAGCTTGGATTTTGGAGGCCTCGGCGAATGAGGGAGAGCAAGAATGGCCGACTTGGTCGGATCAGCAGATGACTTCTGCTCGTCGGGAACGTTAGAGGTCGCCTCGGGGGCGATCTCGCCATCTTCACGACCAGAGCTTTGGTTACCTCTGTTCCCCGAGCCGATCACAGACGCCTCGTTCCCGGCCTGCTGTGCATCTTTCGGCTCGACCTCGTCTCTCTTAGCAGCCTCGGCGGCTCGTCTCGCTGCTTCTTCTGCCTCTCTTTTCTTCCTTTCCCGGAAAGTCTCCATCACCATCTTGTCGCGAGTATCGCCTGATGAGTTCGATAGTTCAGAGCTGACTGGGACACCCGCAGAAATAGACCGAGCTCGTTCAACTCTTTTCAGCGAAAAGTGTTGTTTCTAGTTGCTTCGGTTAGCAGCTAGCGTATCCCGAACTTCGAACAGATCGTCAGGACACCGGGGGAGAAAATCGCGAACTGCAAAAAAAAAAAAAAGCAAAACAATGAAAATGTCAGAATCGAGATCCGAAATCTTCCGAGCCGAAGGAAGACATCGATCGGATACCAAGTGGTCCCCAATCGGTTTTGGTCTTGCGGATAAAGTTGTCGCCAACCGACGCCCCGTTGACTCGGACGAAAAAGAAACATTCGTCCCAAAAACTATCTTTGCTCGGAAAACCGCTGATAATCTTTCGGCGCACCTTACTCGAGATATAAAACTTCTTCCCCCCAGGAGCCTTGCAAAATTCCAACAAATTCAATAAATGGTCGAGCTCGATGTCTATGCAACATTCGTAACTCCGCACCAAAATCCCAATCATATGCCGTAATCCTCTTGGCATAATCTGACCAATGGATATCCCGTGCTTCCAGAGGTATTGAAGGATCACTTCGGGGATAGGAAACCAGAGGAAGCAGAGATTGAAGAAGCTTTCGTAGACGGTGAAGTGATCAGGGGGCGGAAGATGAGCACGATCGCTGGGCCTCGGAACGAGAAACTCGACCTCCTCGGAAATCCCAAAACAATTTCGAAGGGCTTCTAGGGATTTGGTTGAGGATAAGGACGAGCCGGGAGGATCCGGCCGAAGCCTCTTCTTTCAAACCCTAGTTCGCCTGGAAGACGAGGCAGCTCGGCTCGACATTAGACGTTCGATTTCCCGCTTCGCCTCTGCCAGGTCGAATGGAAAAATTTCTTCCTCGTCCTTCACCTTGGCAAAATCGATTGCGTCGCCACGGTTAGGGGCCAAACCGTGGGAAGAGCCCGTCGAAATATCCGCCCCACCATCACGAGATCTCGCATAGTTAGATACCGCGAGATTTTCGATAGAATCCACGCTAGAGCATGCACAAGATCTCGCCTCGACTTCGACGGATCTATCTCGACTCTCCACCTCGGCGACCTCGTTGCTTCGATCAGCGGTGGAGCTCATCTCAGCATCGCTATCATCGCCTCGGCCGACGGAGGTATTTGCCTCGCCATCCCCATCATCTGGTTTGGCAGGAACACTCGCCTCGGCGCTAACATCACCGCAGGATAGGGGTACTGCCGCCTCGTCGCCCCATCATCTTGCCCGATAGAAACATTTGCCTCGTCACTGACATCGCCTCGGTTCAGGGGCGCTGTCGCCTCGGCACTCCCTTCATCTAACCCCGAGGTGCGACTCATCGCAATGCTTTGATTTGCCTCGATCCAAGGATCCTCCGTCTCGGCTCTCGTCTTTGGAGAGGTCAGCCCGAAAGACTCGGCGGCAAAAAATCTCAAGTAACCGGCACGGAGGAGGGACGGCGGAAGCAGTAAAAACCCTAGCTAGAGAGAAAAATAATTTAGAGAGAGAAAGAAGAGAGAAGGGAGAGCTCTACCTTTGTGATTTTTGGGAGACTGAGGTTATGAGGAAAACGAAAGCAAAACCCCCCCCCCCTTATATAGAAATCTCGGTGCTTGTAGGGTCCACATGAACCTCGGAAATCAGCAAAATGTAAGTATGGCGCGTGAAATCTGCGCAGCCTCACCAGAGAGCGTACCCGCTATCACAGTACACGCGCTTAGGGACATCAATCAAAGGAGTATGCCCAATATTACCGAACCCATCCAGGTTCAATGGAGTATCCCGAGCCGCTTTATAACGAAACATGGCTCGTCATCACTAAATTAGATCGGCGAGGTGGACACGCTTCGGTTCTATCAAATAAGATCACCTTGTCGTTGAACGCGGCTCGGCATTTTTTGCCTCGTCGTTAAACACCGCTCTTTTTCGCCTCGTCGTTGAACGCGGCTCGGCATTTTCGCCTCGTCGCTAAACACAGTTCTTTTTCGCCTCGTTGTTGAACGCGGCTCGGCATTTTCGCCTCATCGCTAAACACGGCTCTTTTTCGTCTCGTCGTTAAACGCGGCTCGGCATTTTTCGCCTCGTCGCTAAACACGGCTCTTTTTCGCCTCGTTGTTGAACGCGGCTCGGCATTTTCGCCTCATTGCTAAACACGGCTCTTTTTCGTCTCGTCGTTGAACGCAGCTCGGCATTTTCGCCTCGTCGTTAATCACGGCTCTTTTTTGTCTCGTTTTTGAACGCGGCTCGGCATTTTCGCCTCGTCGCTAAACACTGCTCTTTTTCGCCTCGTTGTTGAACGCGGCTCGGCATTTTCGCCTCGTTGCTAAGCACAACTCTGCTTCTTTGCCTCGTCGTTTATTCGGCTCGACATATCTTTCATGCAAACGCCTCGTCACCTTAAAATGTGCATGGCAAGCCGATTCGTCTATTTCCTCTGTCGGAATCACCTTGCCCTCGACACAGTGGCTTAATACGACCACCCTGCTCCATCGCCTCAGCGCTGCTGTTAGTATGGCTCGGCGTCACATAATAGGCTCTCGTCTTTATCACTAACCCGGCTCGGTATCGGTCTAAAGTGCCTCGTTGCTGTTACCCCATTATGGCTCGGAATTTCATTGGAGTCTCAACAGTTCAATATCAGAGAGGCTCGGCGAAGCCTTGTCATAACGGCTCGGTAGGCATGGTCAATCTAGCTTCTCGAAATACATACCTCGTCGCCCTCGTCTCCGGGACCGACGAGCTGGGGGCCTAACTGTTGGGGTCGATTTCCGCCCCAGCTAATTAACCATTTCAAAACGACTGCATCAAAAGACATTGACTAACCCGAGCACTGTGAAGAGCCGAGCCGAGCCTGTTCATAAAATAGGATGGGTCGATCCTTGGAGCGAGATGGGCCGAACCCCAGAAGCAGCGCAGGCCGAGCTGTGCATGGAGAAGAATGGGCCGAGCCGATTCTACCTAGATGGGCCGAACTGAAGGACGAAAGCCCGTAAAAACCCTAGGCGGTGTATTGTGACGGTGGCCGCACGAAGAGGTAAGGAAATATTCTGAAAATCTCTCCCGGGATTCTCGGCTAGACGGTTTAGAAAGTTAATATAAATAGATACTGTATGCAATTCATTCTGTAACTTTTTGCAACCCTAAGCAATAAGAGCTAAACACTTTTACAGCAAGAAAAACTTTCTTTCGATCATACTGTTTTTGGCGATAAATCCTAGAAGTTTCCGATCCCTTAGTTTTTCTTAAACAAATTTCTGGTTGTGCGAGTTTTGGCTCACACAAATATTTTAAATAATTTGGATATTTGAATTGTCCATAAATATAATTTGATTTTATGGTTTTTTTCAATCTATTATCTAAGCTGATCCAAACCAAAAACTATATGATTGGGAGGAGACCCATTTTTTATTTATTTATTTTTTAACATGGTTCTTGAATCCTTATTTCCAAATTTCGAACTATCCAAAATCTAAAAAATATGGAAACCGATGTATTATCTAGTGTCGACCATGGAGGCGAAAACTAGGGTTTCATCACAGATCCAATTGATTCCAAATCTCACAAGATCCAATCTCTGAAACCCTTTTCTGCCTGTTCCTGGTTAAGATCTACGTTCCCAGTTCTGAATTTGCTTTGGTTGTCTCCTCTTCTTCTCTCCAATATCAGATCTAGCGTTGTCAAAACATCTACACGATGAACCGAGTTTGGAAGAAGAAGGAACTTTCTCTGGTTGAAGAGCTTAAGGAGTGAGATCTACTTGGAGAGGGAGATCCGGTGGATATTCCGGAGCTGCAAAATGAAGATCTCATCAAAGCCCTCCCACCGATTTGGGGTCTTGAGGATCGAGTTCGAGGAAGAGGGGTAGGGGAGAATAGGGCCCAATTCATCTTCCAAAATGAAGGTGACCTATCTCATGTCCTGAACAAAGGACCATGGTTTGTGAACAGGTGGATAATTACAGTGGATCAATGGAAGCCGAATCCTGGACCAGATTTCCTCAACTTGATCCCGTTCTGGATAAGAATAAAAGGTTTGCCCATCCACCTACTGAAAAAACAAGCTATCGAAAGTCTCATATCTCCGTTGGGAATGGTGGGTGCGGTTGAGCTACATGCCAAGAACTCGGACTCTGTCGAATATGTTCGGGCTCATGCTATGATCCCAGCTGATAAACCTCTCCAATTTAGGAAATTGGCGAGATTCTCCACAGGGGAACACATCCAAACCGAGCTGATTTATGAAAAACTACTCAAAGTGTGTTTCACTTGCAGGAGACTCACTCATGATCAAGCAACATGTCCCTACCAAATCAATGAAGCTCAACCATCTGTTGCCGATAGGAGCAAGTCAGCCTCTCAGGTTAGAGCTGATAAATCTTCAAAGTCTAAAGGTAAAGGGAAAGAAGTTGTAGATGTCAAACCTCGAAGAGCCTCCAAAAAAGATCAAGATGGTGCCTCCAGTTCTCAAACGAAGTCACAATCAGATGGGCGCAGGAAAGGAGTTAAGGAAAGACTTCAATGGCAACCATCATCCTCTCAACCGACTCAACAGGTTTGGCGGAGAAAAGAAATCCAATCCGCTACGACAGGGGAAGGTGGGAGCACGGCTAGCAATAGAGAATCATTTTTCTCCTCCCAAATGAGAAACAAATCAAGTGAAAGTGAAGCCTGGAAGGAGCTAAATTCTGAAGACCCCACACGATCTGGATCCTACCACTTGTCCTCAGTTTTTGAAAGATCGGGGGACGCGAATCAGGGATCTGGAGACAAAGGAGGTGATCACTCTCCAACCACACCTGGAGAAAGAACCAAGATAAGCCAAAGTGACTCTTTCTCGAATGAAGAAACCCCCAACCTGTAAGAATAATGCGGATTAAGAAGAAGATTAGCGAGTATTAAGAAAGTGAAATGAGATAAAGAGGAAGGAGAATAATGTCTCCAAAACTTCGTATTTCTGAGGTTGATACAACGATACATATATAGGCAGACACAAAGAACTAAAACCCTAGAAGATATTTCTCTAGAAACTAAATGACAAACAAAGGAGATCCCGAGACTGAAAGTGACAGCTCCGAGAATAGTCACATGTTTCCTTAAACGAGTCTAACCACTTTTCTTTGTCTTCTCTTGCCTTCTAACGGTCATATTTCTCACGAGACATCTTCTTGGGCCTGAGTTCCTCTTACTGGATCTGACTTAAGCATCGGCCTCATTATTTCATACTTAGCCAAATGTTAGCCTCGATATATATAGACAAGCTATACCAAGTCTTCTCATATTGTCTAAGTCTTTATTCATTGTCTCAATACAACCAAATGTCGGTTTTCGAAAGACTTGGCTCAGGAAGCTCCGGGAGAAAGAAAGAAGAAATGGTGCTCCAGAAGAGAAGAAGGAACAGCTCAAGCGATGAAAGGAAGATCAAAAAAGAGCTAAAGTGGGGGACTTGATGATCAAATCTCCGACTGCATCAGTCTTTGAAAGACTCGGCGAAGGATCTTCAGAATCGAAGAAGAAGACTTTCGGTGAAGGAACCTCAGAATCGAAGAATAGATCGTATAGTGAAAAAAATCATTCTGTCTCTATGACAGCCATTGTCCCAAATCATTTTGCCTCCTTTGAGGCTGGTGAGGGTGGAAACTCTAAGAAAGAAGGGTTGATGGTTAATACCAACCCTTCGAAACCTCAATGAGAATATTGAATTGGAACTGTCAGGGGGTGGGGAATACCCCTACAGTTCGACAACTTAGGGAAATTCGTAGGAAGTTTTTCCCTGAGGTTTTATTCCTCTGTGAAACTAAGAATAAAAGAAGCTATTTAGAAAATGTTGTAGGACATCTTGGTTATTCAGATCTTTGTATTGTGGAACCAATTGGAAAGAGCGGCGGTTTAGCTTTAATGTGGAAAGATGATGTTTCTGTCTCTGTCTTGCAGTCTAATAAACGAATGATTGATGCTACAATCAAATGGGAGGATAAGGAATTTTTTCTAACGTGCGTCTATGGTGATCCTGTGAAAAGCAAGCGTGGGCAGGTGTGGGAGAATCTCACTAGAATCGGTATTAAACGCAGAGAACCCTGGGTCTTGACCGGTGATTTTAACGAACTTGTGGATCCGAAGGAAAAGATTGGGGGAACAGAAAGATCGGATCTTTCTTGTGTAGAATTCAGACAAATGATGAACGCCTGTGGGCTATGGGAGATCAAGCATACTGGTCATCAGTTCTCGTGGTATGGAGTTCGCAATGATGAGCTTGTTCAATGTCGTCTGGACAGAACTATATCCAACCAGGCTTGGAATGATTTATTCGATCAAGCACAAAGCTGTCTACCTCCAAAGAGTTAGTTCTGACCACAGTCCTCTCATCACTTGCCTTTTGGAGGATCAGCAGAGGAGAAAAGCTGGATTCAAATACGACCATCGATGTTTCCACAAAGAAGGGTTTAAGGATGAAATTGCTAAAGCATGGAAATCAAGGAACTCGACTCATGGGGTAGACCTTATGAGCCGAATCAATCATTGTAGAAGGGCCATCGCTAACTGGAAAAGAAATAACAGATGCAACTCAGCTTTGAGAATCCAAGAACTTTGTCATCAGATAGATTGTGCCACGAAGCAGCAAGACATTAACATGGAGGACATTAAGCGGCTAAAACAGCAACTCCATCAAGAATACAGAAATGAGGAGGAGTTCTGGAAAACCAAGAGCAGGATTACGTGGCTAGCATCGAGAGATAGAAATACCAAGTTCTTCCACGCTGCTACGAAAAATAGAAGAGCTCAGAACAAAATAAGATGTCTCGTTGATGATCAAGGAATGACGTGGTATTATAGCGCTGATCTTGGAAGGATCGCTGAGGACTATTTTAAGAGGCTCTTTGCTTCGGAGGATATTGGCTATCAATCCTCAAATCTTGACCATCTCGCTTCGGACCATAGCTGCATCAATGCGACTCAGAATGAGACCCTTATGGCTCCCGTCTCAAAGGAGGAAGTTAAAAGAGCTGTCTTTGAAATTAACCCCACCAAATGTCCTGGTCCTGATGGAATGAGTGGATACTTCTATCAACAGTTCTGGAATTATATTGAGGATGATGTTTTTTGTTTGGTTCACGACTTCTTTTCGTCTGCAACTCTTGGGAATGAAATCAATAGAACAAATATTTGCCTTATTCCCAAGAAACTGAATGCAAACAAGATGTCAGAGTTTCGCCTTATCAGTCTCGGCAACGTGGCCTACAAAATCATTGCTAAAGTACTGGCTAATAGACTCAAGGAAACCCTTCCCAGTATCATTTCTGATACTCAGGCAGCTTTCGTCAAAGGCAGGCTCATAACAGATAATATCCTTGTTGCCCACGAGTTACTCCATGCCTTGAGGTCTAACAACAAGTGTGCTGAGGAGTTTGTCGCGATCAAGACTGATATTTCAAAGGCATTCGATAGAATTGAATGGACTTTCCTCCGTAAGGCGATGCAACTTCTTGGATTTGGAGACACATGGATCAATCTTATAATGAAGTGTGTTACCTCTGTTTCATATCAGGTGCTGATAAATGGCAAACCATTTGGATACATTCAACCCTCGCGAGGCATTAGGCAAGGTGATCCTCTATCACCCTACCTCTTTGTCATTTGTACGGAGATTCTTGTGAGAATGATGAGGAATGCTGAGGAGGATGGTAGAATCACCGGATTACAAGTTGCTAGATCAGCTCCAGCCGTGTCACACCTCCTTTTCGCCGATGACAGCATGTTTTACTGCAAAGTGGAGGAAAATGAACTCACTCAGGTCATTGGAATCCTTGATGAATACTGCCTTGCCTCTGGTCAACGCATAAATTACCAAAAATCAAGTGTTTGCTTTGGAAAAAACATTCCTGATGAAACTCGCGAGGTGGTGAAAAGGAAGTTGGGCATTACTCAAGAGGGTGGGGAAGGCGTTTATCTGGGTTTACCAGAATCCTTTGGTGGTTCAAAAGTCTCCATTCTCAGCTATCTTAAAGAGAACATTCAAAATAGAGTATCAGGATGGCAAAACAATTTTCTATCATTTTCTGGAAAAGAGATTCTTCTGAAGTCGGTAGCTCTGGCACTACCTACTTATACTATGGGATGCTTTCTTCTTCCAAAAACCGTGTGCAAGGAGATTGTGAGAATCATGGCGGATTTTTGGTGGAAAACAGACAAAGACAGAAGCAGCATGCACTGGAAGACTTGGGACTATCTGAGCAAAGCTAAAAACAGGGGCGGACTTGGCTTTAAAGATCTCGAGGATTTCAATCTGGCCCTTCTGGGAAAACAACTATGGAGACTACTCACTCATAAGGATACTCTCTTGGCTCGTATCTTTAAGGCTAGATACTTTCGCAATACAAGCCCACTCAATGCTACCCTTGGCTCAAGACCTTCCTTTGCGTGGAAGAGTATCATGGCAGCACAAAACTTGATAAAAAAAGGTGCTCGAGCGGTTATAGGCAATGGTTTAAATACCAACATCTGGCATGATCAGTGGATTGGCAGGAAACCAGCTCATGTTGTTGCCAGAATGAAATGGACACCTCTTTATCTCCACCGAGATCTGGCGACCCTCTCTACTGTAAGTGATCTCTTCTCTGCTTCTGCTAGAGAATGGAAGGAGGACTTTTTGCACACAATATTCTGTGTAGAGGATGTGCGGGAAATCCTGTGTATCATACTTGGAGGGGAAAGTTGTGATGATACTTACTGTTGGGACTATACAAAGGACGGAAAGTACTCGGTTAAATCTGGTTATTGGATCTTGCAGAATGTGCTTAAAAATAATGATCCTACCGAGGTGAATCAACCAAGTCTGGATCCACTGTATCAGCTTGTTTGGAAGGCAGATGCTAGTCTAAAGGTACAACATTTTTTATGGAAATGCCTTAGTAATTCTCTATCTGTAGCTGCAAACCTTAAGCATCGTCATATAGCAAAGGACTCAGCCTGCGTGAGATGTCATGACGGGGAGGAAACTATTAATCACCTTATATTCACATGTCTATTCGCAAGACTAGTATGGGCTATCTCACCGATTCCCTCACCTAGACACGGGGAAATGGATGAGTCCTTTTTTGCCAATTTCCATAGGGTCTTTACCTCTGCAAAGGACCACCCTTTTGGAACTGATGCTGTGAAAATTATTCCGTGGATCATGTGGAGATTATGGAACAATAGAAACAGTCTCCTCTTTAAGGGAGTTGAATTCGATGCCCAGGAGCTGGTAAATAAGGCCAAGGACGATGTAGAGGAATGGCTTTCAAGGATTGAGGTGGAAAGAGAGAGACCAAAGACAATCACCCCGACCATTTCTTGCACTCATTGGAACCCGCCACCACCGAACTGGTATAAATGTAATGTGGATGCAACATGGAAGGAAAATGGTGAAAGATGTGGAATTGGTTGGGTTTTAAGGGATTGTCATGGAAATGCGGTCTAGATGGGGGAAAAGCACTACATCAGATGAGACTTCTTCTTTTCAGATTAATGTCCCTAAGTTGTATTCTATTATGCCTAATTGGATAGATTCGATTATTGAGGAGGATAAGAATGCTTGTAAGGATAATTATGGTATAATGAATGAGATGTTTGAGCCAAAAAAAAAATATGAGCCCGTGGAGCTATTCCTAGAGACATGGCTTTCCAACAACAATCTTTTTTCCTTATTTTTCAAATTCGTTATTCTCCAATTTTTCACGTTTTTTACAAAAAAGAAAATTATTTAACTAATGAAAGTCACGACAAAATAAAAAATGAAAACGCATGTAAAAGGCCTCAAAGAGAGGCATCAAGAATCTGAAATGAGTATCATCTCTATCTGCTCACCGCTGCGAGCTTTCTTCTTCGTCAATTTATATTATTTCTTCTTCCGGTCAATAAAAACCCTTTCACTCCCCTAAAGAGCCACCACCATCCACCACAATAATGTCTATCCTTCTCCCCACCAATTTACAACAATGCCCTTCGTCCTCACTCTCTCCTTCACCACCTCTCTTCTCCCCACCGTCTCCTTCCACCGCATTCGCCGTCGTCGGAACTCGCCGGAGATGTCTCAGATTGGTCACTTCCTGCGTCTCCTCTGTTCAAAGCTCAGTCGCGAACGGTTCCGCTCCCGCCGCCGTTGTCGTCGAGCGAGACCAGATTCGTCTTGGTCTTCCTAGTAAGGGACGTATGGCCGCCGATTCGATTGATCTTCTCAAGGTCAGGAGAAAATTGCATTGCGATTTATGCGATAATGTTGAAAGTTAAACTACTACCATAGATTTAAGTATTTAGCATCTTCATACTCAGATAATATTTTGTTTTTCTCGTGGTTGTGTTTAACTTCAAATCCTCATTTGATTAGAGACTAATTATATTTTCTTTATTGTTTTCGACAGAGACTTGTTTAGATTTTCTTATAAGTAGCTTTCTTTGTTTCTATGTTCGTCATGCGTTTAGTATAATCTCTTATGTTTCTTGTATCTGATACTCTGTTGTGTGTGAAGTAATTGGAGGAAGTTGGTATCTATAGAAGATCGAATCTTTGGCTATTGTGTTTTTAGACCGATAAACTGTTTATTCATGGCTATCGTTTGATTATTCAAACTTGCATATTCTGAGTCTTTACTCTCTGAAGTGTTGTGTTTCCTCTCACTTTTAGTGAAGTGGACAAAGTGATTTGTAATCTCATAGCTTGTTCTTACTCTTCTGTGAAGGACTGTCAACTGTTTGTCAAGCAAGTAAATCCTAGGCAATATGTTGCACAAATTCCCCAGGTATGCATCCGAAGTAAACTGAAAATGACTGTGTTTTTTTTTTTCTTAATGGTTTTTTGTCTATGTTGGTGCCTTATATTGGTAATCTTTTCTTGTCCTCCAGTTACCAAACACTGAAGTTTGGTTTCAACGGCCAAAAGACATTGTGAGGAAGTTACTCTCAGGAGATCTGGATCTAGGTATCGTTGGTCTTGACACACTTAGTGAATATGGTCAGGTACGTAAAGACCATAATAAGTTCCTCTTGAAGGGCTTTGATATGTTCAGAATGTAGGAATTCTTAGCGGTTGATGCTCATTGTGGAGATAAAAAGAAAAAATAGTTGACTTTCATTCTCTTTTTTCTATTCTTTGACATTTGTAAGCCATTGTTGAGTCAGCGTATAGGATGTATAATTTCCTTGTGAGACTCTGACTCTGGAAGGCTTTGTCGGCGTCAGAACGTTGATGTTTGAGTTTTCTTTTTAGGAAAATGAAGATCTTATCATTGTGCATGAAGCTCTCAACTTTGGAGACTGCCATCTGTCCATTGCGGTATGCTCTAATATATTGTGGTTTGTGTCCTCGTAACATTACCCCGGGATGGTTCTAATTGCATGTCAAATGATCTCAGATACCCAACTACGGGATTTTTGAGAACATAAAATCTCTCAAGGAGCTAGCACAAATGCCCCAGTGGAGTGAGGAGAGACCCTTGCGCGTTGCTACTGGCTTCACCTATGTATGATGAGTTACAGATTCTCCTTTGGTGCGCTGTTGTCATTAACTTTCTCTCAGGATGTATATAGCTTCAATATAATATTTGGGAATGATTCAACTGGTTTTTGCAGCTCGGCCCCAAATTCATGAAAGAAAACGGCATAAAGCATGTGACGTTTTCAACTGCAGATGGAGCCCTGGAGGCAGCTCCAGCGGTGAGATTACACTATTTTACATCCAAGCCATATATTCTTTGTTCAACACTAGGCTTAGCTATGCTCTATCGTCAAACAGTGATTCATTCATAGGGATAGAAAAGACATCACAGTAAATATATAGTTTGCTGTGTATTCATGATTACACCTGGTGTATTAATGTGTTGATTAATCCACATGGTTTCTATCTTTAACCTTTGTTCATTTCGTAAGGTTATTTTTCTACTCTGAACTTAGAATTGTCTAAAGTGGAAAGAGTTGCGTGTATCCTTTTTTTTCTGAAAGGAGTGTTAAACCGACGTGAATAATCGCGTCAGCTTGTAGAGTCGTGAATTTAAGTATCTTATTGTTAGGCTGTGGTGTGAACGTTTTTTATAGCCGTGCAAGCAGACAGAGACGAAGGATTCTATTGATATACTGGCATTCTTTTGTGCAGTATTTGTTGACTCATTATTTCTTGTTATTAGATGGGGATAGCTGATGCCATTTTGGACCTTGTGAGTAGCGGGACAACACTCAAAGAGAACAACTTAAAAGAAATTGAAGGAGGGGTTGTGCTAGAAAGTCAGGTAATGTGAAGTTCTTAGAGCCTTGAACAGTCTGCTTAGACTCTGTTGGCGACTATTGTTCCTGAACGTTTCTTATTAACTTTCAGGCGGCACTCGTGGCAAGCAGAAGAGCATTGACTGAGAGAAAAGGGGCACTAAACACAGTACACGAGATTCTCGAGAGACTGGAGGCTCATCTGAAAGCAGACGGCCAATTCACTGTATGCACTTGGTTCTTGTGGTAGTTTTTCCTTATTCCCCTCTTTTCACTTTCTTTTTTCTTATACTTTCATTCCAGGTTGTTGCAAACATGAGAGGAAATAGTGCTGAAGAAGTTGCTGAGCGTGTGTTGAGCCAACCATCACTGTCGGGATTGCAGGTAATGTTTCAAAATGGCGAGGGGTTCTTAAGCTTTAGCTGTTCTTTATTTATCACTGAGAGTTTATGGCTTCTCTTATTATGAGCAGGGACCAACAATAAGCCCAGTTTACTGTACCCAAAATGGACAAGTATCGGTTGACTACTATGCCATCGTGATTTGTGTACCGAAAAAGGCCCTATACGACTCTGTGAAGCAACTGAGAGCGGTTAGTAATCCCTGCACTTTCTTGCTTAGTAATCTTACTTCCTTCTTGACCTATAAGCTAGTTCTTGATTAACAAATTAGCTGCTCGTAATTCATCTTTTGCGCTGATCACGTTTTATTGTTCCCTCTCTTGGTTCTCTAGTAACGTTTACCAATGTTTATTGCAGATTGGAGGCAGTGGGGTATTAGTTTCACCTCTGACCTACATTTTCGATGAGGATACTCCAAGATGGGGACAACTCCTGAGAAACCTCGGGGTTTAAAATGTTTTGGTAAAGAAGATGCATATGCTGAACAGGTTTTAAGCAGACCTTTTGGTGTAGATCTCTGGGTTTGGTGCCTTTGTGTCAACTTTATATCTCTGCCTTTGTTTTTCTTTTCTTTTCTTGTTGCTGTTGTAATTTCAACATCTCTTATCTGTCTACACATTGTTGTTAAATCTGTTGGAACAAAAATAAAAATTGAAATAAAAAGAGGCAATTTGTCTTTTTTTTTTTTAAAAATTCATCTTTCCATCAAGTCACACATTCATTAACAGTTAATCACTGGCTTTGTCTGCATTATTTCTTAAACTTTGAGGTGCTTTAGTTCCATAAACAGATTCTTTCTTGTAATACAGGCTCCTTGTTAGGAACTATCAGTCTCTAGAAAGGGTATGGGAAGTTTTTTGTTTTCACTTGTGTCCTTTTTTTCTAATCTTTGATATTATAAGATTAAGATAATATTCTCACAATTTATGATGATTGATATGTAACTGTTATAGGATGAAAAAGGGAACACACGTTTCTTCATTGCACACAAAATTCAAACAACGAATCAAGGAAACAAACAAATAAAGAACACACACACGCACACACAAATACACGCACAGATATACATAAATATCATATTAATGTGCAAACCTATAAACACTTGCAATGTACACGATTATGATTTTCTCTGGGTTTTTGGTTGTTTCAGCTAAAAGCGCAGAGTGGAAGAGGTAGTGGAAAGAGGTGCAGAAATTTCAGTTGAAGACCTTTTCTTCTTGAAGAAGAAGAAATCTCCTACAAGAGGAATGATAGGTTTCTTCTTAGTCTTCTTTGTATTCTTCGCAAAATACCCATTTCTGTCTCCTTTGTTACTCTCAAGTATTTGAGCCAATGAAGGATACTCCTTCTGCATCCTCCTCATCAGCTCTTTCCTCCTCTCTTCCTCTCCGTTTTCTTTCTCGTTCGTTTCCTTGAAGCTCACCGATTTTGCCATGGCTGATGCGCTCTTCCCTGCAGCATCAGCCTCTGCTTTAGCCATCTTTGACATGTTCTTATGTAGCTCGGCGTTCAAATTAGCCAAAGCCACCTCTGTCTCAGTCTCTCTCTCCTTCAACATCTTCACCTCTGTCTTCGTTTCCGTTATCTCGGCTTCTAGCTTCTTCAAAACATCCATGAACTCTTCTTTTGAGCCTTGAGTTTGAGGAGAAGAAGGCAACGAGGATCGATTCCTCCATGGAGAAGATGGCAAAGAAGCGGTATGGCTGATTTTAGGACTAGTCGGTTTATGGTTTACGGTTTGAGTTTGTACCGGTAGCATAATCCGTTGGCCGAATATCTCAACTGCTTCTTTTACCGAGCTAAAGGGACGAGATGTGTCAACATGATGTTGCTCGGCTTGGTTATGTTCTTCCATCCTTTCCATTTCCATGGAGGAACAATAGATAGAGAAGAAGGTATTGTATTGGTAATGTTGGTTTTGTTAGGTGAAAATGTGGAACCGATTTGGTTTCTTTGCTTTTACAGCAAAATTATTGGAAAAAGGCTTGATGACCGTTGTGTCAAGGTGAAGACAAGATCATTTTTAAGTTCTCGGGAAAGTTGACTCGCCAACGACTTCTTGTTAACTTAAAATCAGTTTTAAATCTTGTCCAAATCTCTTTACAATGTCACTATTAGCCTAGTAGCATGACCAATTATAATTTTGAACCTGAGGTGTCAATTTTGTGACAGTGACATAATGGCTCTAATTGATAAAGATACGAAATGGCGGAATTGCGTAATGATTCTTGCAGATGAAATGATCTTCTTAAACTCACTTTTATACTTAATGATTTTTCTTTTGTATTCTTTTAAGCACAAACGCAGTTTTTGGTTTTTTATTTATTTTTTCATTATGCAGGTTATCGTTGATTAGCAAAAAAACTTCTGAAAATCTCATTTAAAAATGCAGTACCATTCTAAAAGTTATTAATATATTAGGATGACGACTGACTTATTTCGTATACAGTTTTTCTTTAATAATAGTGACTTTTTTTTATTCTCTGAAAATTCGAACCAGTGATCTCACAAACCAGAGAAAACAAAAACAGAATACCCAAGAAAATAAATTAGAAGACGATTAAAAAGAGAGGCCTCTTCTTACAGAGGCTGATGGCTCAACGAAGCTTTTACTGGATTGTGCCATTGCTAATGGATTCAACTTTTTTTCTTTCTTTTAATTGAATGTAAAATTTACTCAAAGAAAAAAAAAAAAGGTTTGTAAGCTTCATTTTTCGAAGTTTTTAGAACATTTTACAAACTTTGGAAGAAAAACTTCTTCTTACTTTTTCTTAGCTTCCAGATGCAAACCAAATCTCGAGTGCTTCCATGTATTTGTGGTGCTTTAAGTCGCGGATCGATTACTGTTTAGTCAATAAATTTGACTAGGCGAGAGAGAGGTGTTGGACCAATTTTAATGAATTCTAATGGCTCATTAAACATTGTTATGTGTGAAAACATATGAAATCTAATGGGTTATTAAAATGGGAAAAAAACTTAAAAAACTTTTAACTATTTAATATTTATTAGTTTTCTATCCGAGCATTTTTTTTTAGTGTCAGAAGCTTACACAAACTTATGTTTTAGATAAAAAAAAAATATATAAAATATTTTATGTTTCCAGTTTTCACTCCACGATTTCACGGCTGTCAACGGTCAAACAAAATTAGTAAATTACGTTCCAAAACAAGGAAAAAGCTAAAAAAACTTCAACTATTTAATATTTGTTAGAAAAATACCCAAAATTTTAATGTTGTCAAAAACCCACACAAACTAGTTATCCATTGTCAAAAAAACCAAAAATATTATACGGCTTCAGGCTACTCCACTACTTCACATCCACTAATGGTTCTCCCCAGCTTCATTCACTGATGGTTATTCATTTGGTATTGGTTAGTTTCTCATTGTAGACGATATTTATTCCGAAAAGCGATTTGAATATAAGCTCCTAACTAATCGACTATTTGGAATGGTGATCTCAGTGGCTCATAATAGAGTAATAAATATATATTAGCAGGTGATCAACTGAGATAAAGTGTGATATATATTTTTGATCATCTACGAAGATTATTTCAGTGGAGATTAAATCAACCCAAAAACAAAAATGAAGCACTCATCTACAGAATTTTTAGTCATAAATATATCATAATTTCGAAAAACATATATCGTTTTTTGAATTCTATTGGTGACAACTTTGTTTTTAGTTGTTGTAAACTCTTTGATATTTTGGTTTTTTAAAATAAAATGTCATTTAACGTTTTAAAAAAAAACCAAAATTTAGCTAATGTAGATTTCTGATAACGTAAAAAGTTTAGGTATTTTTTTTGGCAAAGATTAAATAGTTGAGGGTTTATTTTAGCTTTTTCTTGTTTTGGAAAATAACGGAGTTTACTAATTCCGTTTGACCGTTAACGGCCGTGAAATCGTGGGGTGGAAACTCGAACTATAAAATATTTCAGGTAGTTTTTTGATCCAAAAAATTAATTCGTGTAGGTTTCTGGCAACGTAAAAAGTTCGGGTAGGAAACTGGAAAATATTAAATAGTTGAGTATTTTTTTAAACCTTTTCCCCTATCAAAATGTAAAGACATCTTAAAAATTACACATATAAAGTTTGAGAAAAATTGAAGTAATCTAAATATAGACATAGTTATGTATTTATTCAAAATGTGTGAAAGAAAATAAAGGGACCACACGCACTGCTGCCGTTGCCAAGCTGAGCCAGGCTTGGATTTTATGGGTTGAAGGCCCACGAAAAATGTTATCTTTGGACCACATTTTGATTAACATTTCTGATCCAAAACGTAATGGATTTTCGATTCAAATTCAAATTGAATTGTGGATTTAAATAAGTCAAACAATTTCAAAAATCTGGCCAAGTATCTTGGTCAATTAACGCGTCACTAACATGCAAATTAGTTGTGGATTCTTCCCACGCTCTCCTCTTGCTGGCTATATAACCGAACCTCTCCACTCTCATTTTTCGACATCCTCTTTCAATTTCTTAGAGAAAAAAATTTCACACAAACCTTCCATCTCTCTCGTCTTTTGTTCTCTTTTCAAAAGTAAGTTTGACAGTATATCATGAAACAATAAATTCGTCTACTCTATAATTGGGTGCTGCAATTATAGTTTCTAATGGTTGTATAATTTCTAAGAGATATTTCAGATTAAGGAAAAAGTTCAACTCGACTCCACTTCATCGTTATTTTATTTTTAACTATTTTATTTACTAAATGTTTTCTTGAAAATATTCTCTATTTATTTATGCAATATTTATCTCTAATATTTTACGCCTACAAGATAATCATATAGTTTCTATGTCTCACTGTACTGAGTTGGAAATAAGGCTGAAAAGAGGGAAACTATTGACAAGCATTTGCAGGAGGCAATTAACAAGGAGAGAAAGCACTGGAGAGATGTGGTGTTGAAAATAATTGCAGTGGTAAAGACTCTAGCAGAAAGAGAAAACATGTAAACATCTTTCACTGCTCTGTTTCTGCTGATAAACTTTACATCTGCATTCAAATACTCCCACACTGATCTAACGCCCTCATATTCAACATAAGAAAATGGGAGATCATGCTGAATAATACTCTTAGAAAAACAGCTTGATCGATCTTCTTAGATTGCAATTTAGCTTCTGAATTGATCAGCATTTGACGCACATCACCATCTCTAGGCATAAGCTTGCATGATTCAAGATGACGTAGATAAGTGTTTTTACCGTTTTTGTGTGCATCATACACATAATCTCTCTTGCAATGCTTACATTGTGCTCTTTCTTCAGATTTTCCTGAGCTATCAACCTTAGTGATGACGTCAAAATGTCTCCACACTTTTGAATACTTATTTCTCTTTTTGGGTTTTGATGACTTTCCTTTGTCTTCTTCATCACCACCATCATCATCTTCAACCTCAAGGACTGGTCTTTTATTCTTAGGAAGTTTAGAAGACTCTGCTCCATCAAACGAAACTTGTTCATTTTCAGTATTAAGAGCATCAATAACTTTTTGAGACTTTTCATCGAGACAATTCCGTGAACCCTGTTTATAACAATACAAAGCAGTAACCAATATTAAATTTCACGTTATGCAAACATATTCTTATATTTTAATATGACACTTGCACGTTTTCACAATGCCACATATTGATAAATAGTTATATAATAAAAAAATGATCATGCCTATTGTTTACCTCGTTCAAATAAGTTAACATATGTTCGATGTAAATAAAAATCAAAGAAATCACTTTGCTATTGCTTGAAAATAATGAAAGACAGTATTATTCTTCTAAACCAAAACATATTCCTATTTGTTTGTTTTCTTCGACATTCCAAGAGAAAAAAAAAACATACAAACAAGAAAGAAGACATAAATAAGGATGTTAATATTAAGTTTATGGTATACTATATGAGGTTTAGGGTTTACCATATGAGGTTTATAGAATTCCATAATTTTATTGAATGAGAAACCTCTGAATATATGTTAATATATACAGAGTATACAAGAGACATTAAAGAAGGAATTATACATCGAGAGTTCAATTCTAGTTACTGCAAAAACTTATATAAGCATGACAGATTCTATAAAATTGATAAAGCATAAAACAGTATTAGAAATTAACAACTTACCATTACAAAGGTGACTGATCTGTTGAATTTAGGTGTCTGCAAATATCGATCAAAAGTAGGTTTTCTCTGACGGTGAAGCTCTGTTTCAGTTTTAATATTCTGGGTTTTTAAATTTTGAGTTTCCTGCTTGGCTGCTTCATGTAGGTTTTTTTAATTAAGTTATAAGAGACTCTAATAGTAACAAAAGGTTTTAATTCTTTCTAAAACTTTTTTTTTTGTATTTGCGAGTCAACCCGCAAACCCGCACGTCCACAATGGGTCACCCCGTTTAACCCGCAACCCGCAGCGGATCAACCCATGAGCCCACTTCTTAATGGGAAAAATTTATGTTGTCCAAGCCCGCGTCCATTAGGGCTTTAATGGGTCAAGCCCGCGGACAAAGAGCCTGATTGACACCTCTAATTAGTGATCCGAATAGTGAAAATTTTAACGCTTTTATTAGAATGATCGGATGCTTTGATGAAGTAATGAAGGAACACCTTCGACGGTTTGATAAACGTAAAACACATTACCATTATCTCAGCCATAAGATTCAAAATGAGTTGACAAAATTGCTTGGTGATGAGATTAAGAACAGATGGAGGAGGAATTGGTTTTGTTGGCTGAGCATCATTTTGTGTTAAAGGATTTTGCTGGCTGAGCATGTATGCATTTTTGTAGATTCATGTATTGGTTTCCACAATAAATATTAAGAAAAATTACATTTTTTTAGATTCATGTATTGGTTTGCCACAAGAAATATTAAGCATGTATGAATTTTTGCCACATGAGCATGTATGA